AGAAGTCCCAGTGTTTAAAGTGCACAAAGACGAGCCAACGGAGAAGAAAGAAAAGGCTAGAAGGCTAATAAGACAGCAAACAGAGCATAATAACATGAAAACTAAGGGAAGACATGGTTTCCAGGAGGGAGAAGGGCACCTGGCTGGCTTAGCATGTGGAGCATGTGACTCTTGATCTCAGGGTTGTGAGTTCAAGCCCCATGTTGTGTGTGGGGGCTATGTGTGTTAAAAAAAAGAAAAAAAAAAAATCAGAGATGCTCCTAATTCCTTCAGCTGATTTGATTTTCTTTATTTGAGCCCCTAAAGCATTTTGACCATACCTCTAATCCTGCTTTTTACTACAATTCTGCTTTATGCTATTTTATTCCCCTACTAAAATATAAAACCCCAGAGTAAAGAGTGATGGCTTAGCCACCTCTATCCCTAAAAGCACCTACAACAGTTCTTTGCAAAAGGTAACATATAGACATTTTTACAATTATGAAGTACACAAAATGGCTCATTTAAAAATTTAGTTGTTTCAAGATCAAGTCTCCATATACTGTATAATCAAGAAATACTAAAGACTGAGAAATTAAATTAAAAGACAGCAAGAGTCACAGTCAACAAAATCTGTTAAAATAAATCTAGTCCTGGGACGCCTGGGTGGCTCAGTCGGTTAAGGGTCCGACTTCAGCTGAGGTCACGATCTCGCGGTCCATGAGTTCGAGCCCCGCGTTGGGCTCTGGGCTGATGGCTCAGAGCCTGGAGCCTGCTTCAGATTCTGTGTCTCCCTCTCTCTCTCTGCCCCTCCCCCGTTCATGCTCTGTCTCTCTCTGTCTCAAAAATAAATAAACGTTAAAAAAATTTTTTTTTAAATAAATCTAGTCCTATCATGAAGGGCAGATATTTTTTTATCATCCTCCTGCCTCAGAAACTAAAGAATGGTGACTCAGAAAACAAATTCCATGGCACGACAATATGAAAATCAATACTAAATAAACATCATCATCTATCTTACTCAGTGATTTAGCTCAGTATGGAATCAGATACCTTTCAGTCATCCGAGAAGACATACGGAACTTTCTGGACATCTGCTGCTGTTATCAGAGTCCTATGGCTTAATATAGTTAGATAGTTAATATAGTTATCATTATATAATTTAATTTACTTACCAGTTTTAACTAATAAAATAGTTATTTTAGACATCAGATCTTCCATACATGAAAAAAATTTAAAAATCAGTAATTGCCAAGTTAAAGAAATCCCACCAGGAAAGGACTAAAAATGCAGGCAGCATTCATCTTCAGACAATTTACCCAAAAAATACCCAATTCTGGAGGGTAACACTAACTCTTTTAATATCTTTTAAAATATTAAACCTCTATTTCAAAATGGACATGGTACTTCATATACACTCACTTTTCATAATTCTTTCCTCAACTCAATGTTTCAGCCAAAACTTCAAGCATTTGAAATTGTTGAACAGTAATTTCAGCTGACCCACCAAGAGAACACAAGTAGATGTCTGTTAATTTTATGTGTCAACCTGACTGGCCAGGGGTGCCCAGATTACATGTTATATCTAGGTGTGTCTGAGAGGATGCTTCTGGACAGGATTAGCATTTGCATCACTGGGCTGGGAAAATTTCCCTGCCCAATGTGGGTGGGCATCTTTTGGTCTGCTGAGAACCTGAATAAAATAAAGGGAGATGAAGAAGCAATTGATCCCTTTTTTCCTGCCTCACTGCTGAGCATCTCATATTCTCCTGCCCTCATACTGGGATTCATACCATTGATTCCACTGGTTCCCAAGCCTTCAGGTTCAGACTGAATTATGCTGTTGGCCTTTTTGGGTCTCCAGCCTGTATGACAGATCGTGGGATTTCTTAGCTTCCATAATACATGAGCCAACTTCTCATAATTAAAAAAATATATATTTTTAAAAATGTATATATACACCTTGTTGGCTCTGTTTCTCTGAAAAAACCCTAATACAGTATACAGAGAGATATTTCATCTGGTACTTCCCTCAATATACCCCATCAAATACCAAAAGGAAATAACGTATCCTTTGAAATACTGCCGTCATGATATAAAATAGTGAAATTTACTGAAAATTTCTAAAATCCTTCAAAAATAAACAATTATTTTATTAAACAAACAGTAACAATTTGGGGGGAAATTTTGGGAAATATGGTTTCAGTACAATAGTATCAGAAATTCACATAACTATATTTAAGCAGAAGTTCACTTTAGCTTATTTTCAGCTCACAATTACATATGTTCAAAATGCCATTGGTTTCTTCTTAACGGTCTGGTAAATGCTGGAACTGATATACTTCAGTGATAATTTCCCTAGGAGGTCTGCTAAAAGAAAAAGTCATGCAAAACCAAATGAAAGCTGAATGTTGTATTTTGACATGGGCTGTAGCTACCTAATTGTATCAATCTGAAAGCTTATACATAAATAAGCACAGAGTTAGGGATTAGCATTGTATAAACTATCAGCTATCAGTGTGAACCCTTCCATGGCTTTCTCTGGTCATCTAGCACCATTTTGATTCCCTTGTCCTTGTGATAAGTGGGTAAAGGTCAAGAAATACCCGAGTAAAAACAAAGACAAGTGATTTTTGCTTACTATCTCATGTTTTTATTACCAGCTAATGTTTTTTCTCATAATTTGAGTAGCTATTAACAAAAAAGTGTGTTTCTTTTCATATTTCATGTAAAGCTTCAAAGACAACCAGAATATCATCTGTATTCGGTACCTCTCGCACCAGAAAAAGGCTTAACTAAAACTAATTAAAATATTTGGGAACTTAGTTGTGTCAATACTACTCTAACTGAAAGGTCTTTTAAGTGAAAAGATTTTTTTTAAATTTTTTTTATTTACCTATGATTCTAAGACATGCAAGAAACCAAAAAAATCACACTTTCTCTGAAATTATACATGGTATACGTATTGCAAAAACATTAAACATTAAATAATTTAAATTGAGTTAAATACATGACTACATATAACAAATTTAGGAATTGGAAGCATTAATAGAACACAAAAAACTGCTCAAATTAAAGTCTAGATTAAAAAAAAAACCAATAAAGTCTGTTATTTATTGTCCAAAAGCCAAAATACCTATTTGGTGGCTATTAAAATAGGTGTATTTGCAGAGGATTTTTAAGGCAGTGAGGCTACTCTGTATGATACTACAGTGGTGACTATACGACCTTCTGCACTTGTCAAAACTCACAGAACGGACAATACCAGGAGCGAACCCTAAATTTGGGTGATAACACTATGCCAATGTAGGTTCACTGATTTTAGCAAATGTATCATTCTGGTGGGCTATGTTGATGATGAGCAAGGTGTGTGTATGTGGGGGTCAGGGGTACCTGGGAACTCTCTGTACCTTCCTGTCAATTTTGCAGTGAACCTAAAACTGCTCTAAAAAAATAAAGTCATTTGTCTCAAAGATGTAAAACACTACAGTCAAGGTGATTTCTCTTGAAAGTTCACCTGAGTACTGACCAATATTTCATTGTTCACAAATCTCAGAAAATTATTTCCAAATGCACACTGTCAACACCACCAGTATAACATAAACTCTAGGGAATAGAAGCAAAGAACATGTAAATTAGGCATATTTTGTAGCTTGTGGAGATGATACCTAGGAAAAAAGGAATTAAGGGTTTACTTGAGAAAATCTTAATGAGACATACAGAACATAAAAACTAGAATGAAGAGGGTATTCTAAAGCTATACCAAAGTATCTTCTGGTCTAAAATATCACCATCTACCTCCTGGCATGTGTGCACAAGGTAAGAGAGAAAGAAAAATGGAAGACCATGACCACAGAGCAGTTGGTCTACTCATTAGCAAAACTAAAGTCAGACTTGCCAAGATCAAGGAAGGCATTATCTGTTTCTCCAAGCAGCTATTCTTTTGGGGCATAGTTTGCATAGCTGACTAACCTGAAATTAGGCCCACATACTGACTTCTAGTGAGTTCCTGAGAGAAACTGCAATAGAAAATATGTGCTATATAATGCTATCACGTACAGTTTCTTAAAAAACATGGGAAAATAGCACTGTGGATTATAGGACGAGTAGTTCATATATATATCTCTATATCTCTATATCTATAGAGATATATATAAACACTAAAAAAAGGGAAATAATTATCATAAAATACTGAACTTGCTAATTAAGCTCATTTAGTTCTGCTAATTAGGAGGAGCTATATGGAGGATAATCTTATTCCAACTCCAATTAAAACAAAAGGCAAAATATTTGAGGGAGGAAAACACAGCAAAATGTGTACACACAAGGTTTCCAATTAAACTTCAACCTTCTGGTGTTTTCGTTTATTCTTGCCAAAACATAGCGTTCTATATTTGAAGTTTCTCGGAGATAAATAATTTATACAGTGGCAATGTGACGCCTTATGGGTAAGAAGTAAGAAACCTAGGGCACAACTCTTCCCCGAATACCTAAGAGCTGAAGTGGTTCGATGATTCATAGTTGTTTTCTGAGAGAAGAGAGGTAGCAAGAGGTAAGCAGTGGAGTCAAGATCTAATCAAGAATGACTGGCACTGAAACAGTCAGTAGTAAAGTCTTCTACGTGTCTAACAGTACTAACAGAGACTTGATATACTAGATTTTAAATATCTAGGGAAAGCTTTCAAAAAACCCGTAAATGTAAGATAGCAATCACCACCTATGGTTGAAATTCTCATTGATTTTATAATTTATTTAGTTGTCCCAGAAATACTACTCTTTATTTCACTGTCTATTTTGGCATAGTTTTAAAACATCCCCTCTATTTTGGATATCAGATATAAGTCATCCCATTTTCTTTAATCAAATTTAATTTTCTATAAGATCCATTACACATTACAATTATGACCTCCATAAATAAATTGACAAATGTATTGATTTGTCTCTTTTCATTGGTAGCAAATTGAAATCCTAAGTCTTCTAAAAGAATGTCAAATTCTTCATCAAATTAATGTGTGAAGTCTTCAAGATGGATTTAATCTGTGCCACTTGATAACAACCTTTTCTGGATTTGTAATGGTTTCTTTCCACTGATTCACTGCTTCAGTGTTATTACTGTCTTCGCTTATCCAAATCTAGAAAGGAACAGCACAACCATTTAACAGAGTCTGAATTCAAACTGCTAAGAACTCTTATGGATGAAAGACGAGTGGAAGTTTGGTTCACGTACTTTCAATTAAACATCTTTCCATTTTTCCAAAATTTTGTTTGATTTCTATTTGAAACGTAAATGTTAAAATACTTAACCTAGTCACCCTGCAGACTGTTTTATATGAATCAATCCAATTTAAAAATTCAACATGAAAGATTATAAAAATCATTTCTCCCAAAACAGTAATTAGTATCTTTTGTTATTCAATAAGCCTAGGAGCTCAACTTACAATTGATCCTGATCATTTGAAACACTTCTGTGAGGATTAACGGAGACTAATCATGATTTAAGTTAGATTGGTAAGAAATGTCCATTTTAAGCACCTTTTACATTAGATAAAGCTGTGATTTTAATTGAAATCTAAACTAACTTTAGGTAATAGACATGAATGAATTTGAGAAAATTGCAAAGCATTATGCAAATGTAAGACATCACACTGGTTACATACCACAGAGGCAAGGTGGGCAAGGAACCCAAAGCCTGAATTCTCACCTCAGCTTTAGCACTACCAAGTGCTGCTACTTTGGAATTAACTTCTGTGAGACGGAGTTTCTAATTCTTTTAAATAAAGAAACTGGAGCAGACCACTGATTTTCAACCTTTCCCCCTTAATTTCCTGATCTGAAGAACTTTACCTTCATATAAAATCTTACAAAGAACCTTAATATATGATATGAATCAGATAATGCCAGCATGCTCTGGCTGATGTAAGGGTGGGGAGACCTTGAGTCCACATTTGGCTACCCCATCATGATGGCTACTAAGGACACCAGAGAAGCCAGAGGGAACAGATGGACAGCCAGAACCCTTCCAGAATTATTATTCTTAACTGGACTCTCAACCAAGAAAATGGAATCACCAAAAACGTTATGCTGAAAATCACCTGAAATCTCCCATTCCATTCCTACATGATCGCTGAGGCTTAGTGAGATAGGAAGCCTTAACTGAATCAACTTCATGGGCCTCACGGCTTTGAAAAGTATGCTACCTATATGAGTTTTTGAGTCCAAACTCTTTCCCAAATAGGAATAAATGAAGAACAACAAAACTTTAATTTTTTAAATAAATGTTTTAGGTAAAACACATGAAGAAGTGGGTCAAAAAGTTATTATCAATCTTTGAAAATTCACATATAATTTAAGGATTTCACATAGGCTGCTAATAACATCTTGTTATCAAGCAGACAGAAGCCTTTAAACCAGTAATGTAGATTTTGGAATTTAAATTCAAGCCAAACAATCATAATTAAGATAAAAGATAATGAGCTACTTTTGGAAACTACAAAGGAAACAAGTCCCTATAGGATTGGCAAGTAAGCAAGTGTTCTGTTGTCTTACACAGATGACTAAAAATTTTTAAATAGATTAATCTAGACACCAATACTAACTATCTAAATACCACCACAACCACTGCTAACACTAATGTTTTCAAATTCAAATCTAACATTCAAATTTCAAATTCAAATCTAACATTATTCAGTTAATAGCATACAGAGTTAAACATTAAATCGAACAGGACACAGAAAGAAGAAAGTTGGATATCTCCAGCCTTACAAAATTTGATTTAAATATTTAGCGTCAAACTCAACAGTACTGAAAAACTGACCTTTCTTATAGTGTTTACAGCTGAGAAGCTCAGAAATAGACTTATTTCAAGATAAGAAGCCTGATTGCTCAGAAATTCCAACTATTTGTATTAAAGCAAAGTGTGACAAGATTTCATTTTTGTGGCAACATTAAATTTTATGATGCTGAAGAATTTTACTCTATTCAACTTCAATTTTATCCCGTATTCCCTTTGATGACTAACTGCTTTGAGCATACAAAAGTGCAAGCAAAGAATTCAAGATAAAAAATCCCTACTAACCTGCCCCACAAAGTGTCGTCTTCTTACAGAGCTCCGACTGTAAAGCTTAATGAGAAAAATAATTTCTTTTTCATTCTGTCTGAGTGGAAAAATCATAGTTTCTCCCCACTTTACTCTGCCACTGGAGGCCTTCAGTAAGCGTGTCTTCTTCTTATAAATCAACTCTCCTGAACTAAACATTGCCACCTTCACAAAAAAACCTAAACAATAAGAAATTTTGATATGTAAAATTTTATTTTAAATGTCATAAAAGATACATATCTATATGTTATATTTGGTGTGAAAATACAGATAAGCCGCTTCTCAAGATCTGACGAAAAAAAAAAAAGATCTGACGAGCTCTTGGCATAACGGAAAACATCTCTAGTAAACTTTATAGTTCTCATCACGCTTTACAAAAAACTACAGCAACCTCCAATGAATCTAATCTTTCTCTACCTGAATGCCATTAAAGACTGGAAACTGGAGGCATACATGACAGTCAGCAATAGGGCAGCACACACTGAAAAGTATTATACAAAAGAGAGGGGCCAACTCTTTGGACAGCTGGAGGAATTTAGTTCACGGTTTTACACAGATAAAATTCTTTGCTCGAGACTCCTGAGGTTAAACACACACCCACTAGAGAAAATTTACTCTTTAAATAAATGGAGATAGAGAGCTTCCAGTAATGGCAGAATAGTTGTAGAAACTAACCTTCCCATAGATTAAAATTATAAATTCTGGGGAAAAAAATATAAAAAACAAGTGCACAAGCCATTAAAGTTTGACCAAAAGCAGGAAGAAATTGGAGGAGAGTCAGCTTTTACAGATGGGAACTGCACTGGGTAAAATTCAGGTTTATATAACTTTTCCCCTAAGCATACTCCCCCGTCTCCCCCGTCTCACTGACACGTGGTCCCTACAGCTCAGGCAGAGAGGGCAGTCTGACTAGTTTGAGTAGTCATGGGATACAGCTGAGGTGGCCAGGGCAGCAAGAGAGTGAGGAGGGAACTTCCAGAAAAAAGGGAGCTGCCAAGTGAGGACCTAGACGGACCATCAGATTTCCAACATGGAGATTATGATAATCCTGATAGCAGTTTTGATCAAAGAAAGACCCTATTAATGTCATAAATAAATTCCATCTGTGGATTTCTACTGATGTCCTTATTTCCTAGAAAATTAACCCTATGTAGCCCTGGTAATTTATTCTTTTAATACCACATTAGATTTTACTTGCTTATTTTTATTTTATGATTTTTCCATCTATCTACATAAGTGGTAACAGTCTATAGCTATTTTTTGTGTGCACTATCCTTTCTGTTTTGATATTGAGAATATGCTAACCTCATAAAGTTACTTTTTCCATCGTTTCTCATGCTTTGGAACAGCTTATATAAAATAGGAATTAAATGTTCCCTGAAAGTTTGGTGGAATCCACCAGTAAAATCATCTTGGCCTGGTGCTTTTATTAGAGGAAATTCTTTAACTACCTACACATGGTTATCATTTTATTCAGATGCTCTCCCTCTTTTGCAGTGAATTTCAACAATTTTCTTCTCCAAAAATCAATTATTTTACAGAGATGTTCAAATGAATTGATATAGTTATAAATGGCGTTGTCTTATTTATTATTGAACCACCTTCAAATTTGAAATGTTATCTTCTTCCTTGTGCCTGTTTTCTTTATTTTTTGCTCGATCCAATTTACTGTAGGTTTGTCTATTTTACTGACCTTTTCAAAGAAAAAGTTTTTGGCTTTATTGATTATGTCTTTTGCTGTTGTCTCCGTATCTATCAACTTTGGCTTTACCTTTAATTCCTTACCTCTACTTTCCTTTGTATTTGCTGTTTTTTTCTTAACTTCCTGAGCTGAATGGTCGCGTGCGTTTATTTTCAGACATCCACTGCTTTTTGCCCACCTGCAGGGATCTTCTCTTCTTGTAGCCGAATGAAGGAGCACTTTTACCCCACTCTTAGCCCTTAGGGAGGACTGACTTCACACCTCCAGCTCTAGGAACAGCCATATAAACCAGGCCTACGCAACCAAAACATCAGAGCCCCTTCTGGTGCCCAAAGGCACAGGGAAGGAAAAGTGTTTCAAGGTTTATGTATGATATTTTCTGGGGGTTTTTTGAATTAAGTTTCTAGTTAACAGAATACTCAACAATGGGCATAGACCTAGAGAAAAGATAAATTATCTAGGCTGGTGAAATATATCTGACAGTCCTCTGGACACTCAACCTATATAAACTAATGACCCAAATAAGGAATAGCATCAAATGGATAAAAATCTAAGAGACTATGGAGTAGAGTAGACACATGGCTAAAATCTGAAATCCAATAAAGTAATTTTAAGTTAAAAGGTAAGTATTTAAGTTAAATAACAAAAGTATGATTTTAATTTCCATTGTTAAGAAATATAGGAAAAACTAGCTTTGACTAATATTTTCTGAAGATTTCACTTTGAACCACAGATATACTTACTCAAAGTGAGAGGTGATGAACAGCTTGGAAGGTACTGTGCCTCGAGAATCTGTAACTGAATTCTGCTATTTACTGCTTGAAAACAAGTCCCCAATTCAAGTTCTGCATGGCAAACCTAGGTATCAAAAAAGTGCCATTTGATAATTAAGAATAAAGCTTTGGAGATATTTCAAAAATTCAAAAGCAAAGAGGTACAATTTTAAGTTTTGAAAGCGATGCTTTTTATTGACACACAAAATTATGATAGAAAATATGGTTAGGATAAATGCATGGATTCTGTAAATATGAGGTACTCACTTTCACGGATTCTGAAAAGCCAAGTTAAACCTACATACTTGATCCTTCAAAACCAGGGAGGCCAAAAGATATTTCAAATTGAAAACAAATGAAATTCTTCAGCAGTTTTTGTAAAGAAAATGTCCATGAAATAAACACCAAAAAAGGCCACTTTCAAAACACTTAGTCATTTGAATTGTTTTTAAAAATACATAAACTATAATGAAAAGCTTCATATATGAGAATCACCATTATTTTTTCTGACTATAGACACAGCAGTAGATGCTACCCAGATTAGAAGATTTGAAGACAAAGGATTACTACAAGGAATAAATGTGTAGGTTAAGAGCTGAATTACCATGCTGAATGAGAGCCAGCCAAGAAAGTTGGCAAAAAGGAAGCTAATGAAAGAGACGGAGGCAGTAAATAATAAGGAAAAGGTCAAAGAAAACCTGAGGCAAACAATGAAATGAAGGAGACTCAGAGGGGAAAAAGTTAAAATGTGCTCTTCTGTAGCACTGACTAAAGAAGAAAGTTAGTAATCCGTGAGATGGAACACAAGCCAGCCTACTTATGTGGATTTCAAGGTCCTTGGAGTAAAAAATCAAGGAGAGAAACATAAAGTCATCCAAACAGAAAAATACTACTGTTCACATGTTGAGAAGAAAGAACATCAGGTTAACAGACCTCCCTGGGGCCCAGCACAGACAGGCACAAAAATCTTTGTGAGTATGGATTCCAACAAAGCTACAGAATGGCTGAATGACACTTGATGAAGAGATTTGTATTTGATAATTACCGAGTATTCCCCAACCATCAGCACATAACTCACTGAAAAAGAACCTTTCCATGTATCTGCCATCGACTGAATCATGGGCGTTTCCTTCAAAACAGGATTCGGCATTTTAAAATTGCTCATGCCAGGATTAAAAAGATCTGTACGTGTGTCTACACACACACACACACACACACACACACACACACACACACACACACACAGTGGAATATTACTCAGCCATAAAAAAGAATGAGATCTTGCCATGTGCTACAACGTGGATGGACCCAGAGGGTATCATGCTTAGTGAAATAAGATACAGACAAATATTGTATGATGATACTCATATGTGGAATCTAAAAAACAAAACAAACAAACAGACTTTCACATACAGAGAACCAACTGGTGGTTGCCAGGAGGGAGGTGAGTGAGGGGATGGGTGAAGTAGATAAAGGGGATTAAGAGGTACAAACTTCCAGTTATAAAATAAAGAAGTCATGGAGATGAAAAGTATAGCATAGGGAATATAGTCAGGAATACTATAATAGCACTGCATGTGACAGATGGTAACTACACTTACTGTGGTAAACACAGAGTAATGTACAGAATCACTGAATCATTATGGTGTATACCTGAAGCTAATGTAACACTGTATGCCAATTATACCTGGATTTAAGAGGGTTTCTGGGGGTGGGGGAGAGGGGAAAGTGGGTGATGGGCATTGAGGAGGGTACCTATTGGGATGAGCACTGGGTGTGGTATGGAACCAATTTGACAATAAATTATATTTAATAAATAAATAAATAAAAATTTTAAAATTAAATTGGTCATGACATAAATCGAGAGCGAGGCAGTGAAAAGTGAACCACTTTAAAGTATAAACTCAACTGTCAAGGTTAGACTCCCCCTTGAAAAGTCTAAAATGATGATCAAACTTGTCTATTTTGGCAACAAATGCTGAATTCTAATAAAAAAGTGAAAGTACTATTTTTGCTTTTGTAATCAGAGTTTAAGAATGGATTAATAAATCTTTTTTGGTAGCCATATATAAAACGGAGCTCTTTCTTATTTAAAAAAATGCTGCTGTTCTTGGCATTTAAAAAAATAGATTAAATACAGTTACTTGGGGTGCTCGGTGGCTCGGTCGGTTGAGAGCACGACTCCGGAGTTTGGCCCAGGTCGTGATCTTCCAACTGTGAGATGGAGCCCCATGTCAGACTCTGTGCTGACAGTGCAGAGCCTGCTTGGGACTCTCCCTCTCCCTCTCTCGCTGCCCCTCCCCTGCTGGTGCTCTCTCAAAATAAATAAATAAACATTAAAAAAACAACAACAGCTATTTATTATTTACAAAACACCAAGGAAACTATGGGTAAAATTTTTTTGTTACTATGGTTCTGTGTCCACAATGTAACAACACTTATGAAAACACCTAAAGGTGGCAAAACTTCCCTTAGTGTTACACACTTGTAGAGCTCACTCTCACAAAACAAAGCAGCACTTGGCAAAGGTTTGCTATTTCTAATTTGCCAGTGTCATTTCTGAATTCAACTTATTTATTATGTTCCAGGATATTAATTCAGATCGTGAAAAACTATTCAAAGTGGTTTTCAATGTCCCTATAACCAAAAAATTAAAATTCCAATCAGGGCACCTGGGTGGCTCAGTCAGTTAAGTGTCCAACTCTTGACTTCGGCTCAGGTCGTGATCTCAGTTTGTGGGACTGAGGATGGCGTCAGGCTCTGAGCTGACAGCACAGGACTTGCTTAGAATTCTCTCTGTCGCTCTCTCTCTGTGCCTCTCCCCAGCTCGTGCACACTGTGCATGCTCTCTCTCTCCCAAAATAAATAAACTTTTAAAAAATAATAAAATAAAATTCCAATCAATTAGCATGTATAAAGTGCATTTTTAATGGGCACAAAACCATGGAAGATACGTGATCTCTAATCTTGCAACATGGATCCTTTTTTAAAGAAAAGAAAACTTTCCAAGCCTTCCTTGAATCGTTGTTGAAAGTGAAAAGCATAGTTAGAGAAAACCATGATCTGGTGATCTCTGAGAATATCTTCTTGGGGGGAAGTGACATATGGTAGAGCTGGTCCTGGAATCAATGCTTCTGTTCGAATCCTGGCTCGCCAACTACTGGCTGGAGGAAATCATGCAAGTGCTTTCGTGTGTCGGTGCCCTCAGTAGGGATACCGAGAGCAGAAAGCTCATAGATTTGAGTGTGAGCATTAAATCACCTAACACCACATCAGTTGTATGTAAGGCTCTGTAAATAAAAATCTCATCTTTTCCACATTATTCAACACAGAGACTTGGGTTCTCAAATAAATACTTACGTTACTATTTGTCAGGGTCAAGAACTCTCTACTAAGACGTTAGCTCTACATGAAAGTTCTGCTGTGTGTGGTGGCATAATTGTCACCGTGGAGGATGGGTGTGAAAGTCCGGCTCTGTCAACTAGAATATCAATTTTCCTCCTCGACACAGGAAACAAAGCATACTATTTTTGCATTGGCCAATAATCTGAAACATTCACACTAATATAAACCCACTGGTCCAATATAGCCCCTAAGTTCTTCTTTCAGGCCATCAATCTTTTTGTACCCCTAGGACCTAACACACAACAGATACACAATTGTTGCAAGACCTCTAAAACATGAAGTAATTTGGTAGAAACTTAGCCAAAATCATTCATTCAGATTCTCCAAGGCAGATAAGATTATAACAACTCAATTCTCCAGAAAATACCTTTGCTGAGTTATCTTCTGATATACTCTATTCGTCTTTAAAGTTTTAGTAAATGAATTATCCATTTGAATAATATATTTTGTGCCTTCTGTAAACTATGGTTGCAGCTTAAGGTCTACCAAACCTAGTTTCAAAGATGCAAGTGACAAACTCCTTGTCACAGTTACAATGCAAATTTCCTACATTTAAACAGAATATAAAAATAATCTAATATAGCATGCTTCCATTTAATCATTTATTCTTTCATTCCTACCTACGTACCAACGGTCAATGCCAAGAATATAATTAGGCCCTTGCTAAGAACACAGTAAAACATAAAGAAAACGGATGGAAGCTTGAGCCTTGTTTTGTTTAGACCAAGTAACTGAATTCTAAGTTGTAATAAATACCGTACAGAGAACACATTGGAGATGGAGACAGAAAATAATAGACAAGAAAGATCTATCTAAAAATTTCACTTCTTGATCAGTTATAGAAATCCTTTTTTATTTTTTAATCTCTACTTTGATTCCCTTCTAATTCGCTGGTTCTCAAGCCAGAGTGCAGAGTAGAATCACCTGGGAAGCTTCTAAAAACTACAGATGCTTCTTCATCAAAATAAAAAGCTTCTGCACAGTGAAGGAAACAATAAGCAAAATTAAAAGGCAACTGACAGAATGGGAGAAGATACTTGCAAATGACGTTATCAGATAAA